GAAGAGTTCTGTCTTCTGGGTTGTTGCGCTGTGTAGTCTGGTCGATGTTAACCAACGTTTCAGAGGTCATACTGCCTCCGTTATCAGGCCCTGATGATGGAGGCAGTATGACCTCTGAAACGTTGGTCAACATCGACCAGACTACACAGCGCAACAACCCAGAAGACAGAAATCTTTATACTCACCGCTGTGAAAACCTTAAATCTTACATCTACCGACAAGTCTACACGAAGAGAAAACCCGGAACATCATCACCACCGCCACCACTGTGAAAACCTCAAATCTCCTGAATGGACTCCTGCTGCAGTTATTGGAATATGTTCCATAATGGTTGATAAATTTTGAATGGGATTAACCTCTCGCTGGTCACAGTGCATACCTTTGGTAAATCCAGTGTGCGCCCAGCACTTGCCGACTGTTTCTGGCCAAAACTTCAACTCATGTAACTTTTATTAAATAATACACCATCTTTCAGGGACAACTGATTCAAAGAGGCGTTGTTGATTCTCTCTACAATTTTCCTCACTTAGAGTTGCTAAACTGCATTTTAAAACACTTGATAATCCCAGCATCTAGAAGCTGTAATCAGCCATGACAGTTGGGACACAGGAATTCAAAGTCTTGTATAGCTAAGATTTGTGATTCTAACAAGGAGCACTGTCCATGAAAATTATACTTCCTCCTTTGCATCTCTTTAATGAAGTCTTTAATCTCTGATGCATCTTCACAGTTTCATCAACTGAGGCAGATCACTAAAACACTCTCATGTCTATATTATCATTTCTTTTAGCATTAGGACTCGCATAATACTTACGAAAACGTTCTGGATAATTAAACCCCATATACAGATAATCGATCATTTACAATTAATATCCTAATTTTCTGTGCTGAACTGTATTTAACACAATCTAACCCATTTAGGACCGCCACGGTGGTCTAGCGGTCGGAACTCTGGGCTTGTCTGGGGTCCCGGGTTCGATTCCCGGTGGTGCCCGGATTTATAACTTGTATTGGGCAAGGCAGTGGTCGAGGTATCACAGAGTTTTCCTCCTGGGCTTCCCCGGTTTCTCCGTGGCATCCGAACAATTACTCCAATTTCATCATCATTTGACACTAAGCACACAGAAGAAGGCAATGGCAAACCACTTCTGCATCATTTGCCGAGGAAACACACGAACAGGTCCCTAACAGAGGGAACTTGTTCATAATGTCACCAGGGGTCGGCTCCGACCCGATGGTACAAAAAAAAAATATTTAGGAGCCTGACCATGCTCTGCTACGCTGGTAGTATTGTTTGGGAAGTGTTAACATATTCTTTATCACACATTAAAGAAATCTGTTAAAACTGAACAAATTATTTTTGGATGAGAATAGTTTTTTTAGTGTTACACTGGCATTTCTTTATAATAGTTTTCATTATAATACTAATCCATGAATATGCTGAAGGCTTCACACAAAGAAATTTCAACGTCTGTAAACTTACTTTCTGTTCAGCTGCGTTGAAAAGAGTGGCCCGTTTGTGATGCTCTCTTCCACATTCAGCTTTCTGCTTATCTGCATCCATGACCTACCGGTAATTACGAAGAGAGTAAGGTAAGAGTACTAAACACACAGCGACTGATTTGTAATTGTGTCAATCAACACGCAACTGTTATTTACTGGATTTTATTCAAAACTTTCCATAAGATTTATTTACATCTTACTCATTACACTTTCCCTAGATTACAACTTCACTCATTAGAAAATATAAGGGCAAAATAAATTAGTTCTGCTCAGGCAGATATCTAGAAAACTATAAGAAACATCTTAGAAAGGGTCTTATTTTGATGTTGGAAGCTATTTACATTGTTATACAGTGTGTCCACAAAGTCCCTTCGTGGTTTTGAAAAACTGTGGCGCGAAAACAAATTGAGCTAGCCACATGCGGTTTGTGGCTGATTACAGTGAAACTCTGGAAGTTTTTTACTGACCTCAGTAGACCTCGATGTGGGCTCCCTTGGTAGCAAGAGCAATGTGTTCCGAACACCAGTTAACGGACTTGATAACCTGAAGACCCGTATCAGGAATGCGATCTCGGCTATTCCAGCGGACATGCTCCGCAGAACATGGCAAGAGCTCGAATATCATCTGGACGTTCTCCGTGCTACCAAGGGAGCCCACATCGAGGTCTACTGAGGTCAGTAAAAAACTTCCAGAGTTTCACTGTAATCAGCCACAAACCGCATGTGGCTAGCTCAATTTGTTTTCGCGCCACAATTTTTCAAAACCACGAAGGGACTTTGTGGACACACTGTATAAGATTAACAAACCCTAACTGTTAACAACACTTGTCATTCCCAGGTCAACGGACAGACTCTTCCAGTGATTAGGTTTTAGAACTGAGGATATTTGCCTGCTTTTAGATTCAAATTTTACAGGAAGTTCCAAACCTTCATGGTGGCATGATTAAGCATTTCCTGCCATGCACTGTCAAACTGCCACTCATGCTGCTTACTGAGAAAACGCTGCTCTGCCAAGACTGCTGTCTCCTTAGCCGCCTGATGAAATTCTACAAAATAAAACGGCGCCTCTTAGTTACCATTTCAGCCTGCAGTGATTCACGTGGACTGTATGTCGTTTACTGGCATTGTATCAACTCCAGACATTATTCAGTGGACTCAGTTGACAGGAAGACTATGTACGCTTAGCTGGAAAGGACGCGGAGTATGTGATGGTGGAATGTGAATGAGGTATCATGTTCCTGGTTGCAGTAAAGCTTGTAAGACTGCTGAAAATCTCATAATTCCTTTCAGAGATTTAGTTTTATCTGTGTTTGGTGATAATCACTTGAAGGTCACTAACAAAGTTCTGGTTTCAAAATTTTACAGTTTCAAAAAGAGCGGCTGGAATTTCCAGAAGAGAGAGAGTGAGAAATGAAAAGAAAAGAGAAATCATGAGGATGGATCGAGATATAATTGAGGAGATAGAGAAAAGACAACTGATTTGGTACGGACACGTGCAAAGGATGGAGGAGGAAAGGTTACCAAAGAAGACTGTGAAATGACAACCAAAAGAGAGAAGGATGAGAGGGAGACCGAGATCAGGATGGAACAACAGAATTAAAAGAACCATGACAGAATGGAAACTACCTCCGGAAGGATGGGAAAATAGAGAAGAATGGAAGAAAATATTAGGCACCGGAAGACCAAAGTAACGGGGACCGCTGATCTAACTGATCAGAGTCGTTTGACTGTCGTAATGTGTGAAGTTTACCAAGCAAAGTTATTACACCATTCTGTTGTTCCAGTGTTATCGTTTTGTTCTAATTAAAACTGCTGTTTCATTAACATGGTTTTCTTGTGCTATAGCAAAAGAGGATTTTTCCCAATCTTTGTCCTGAGATCTAGCGGTAAGGTGAGGCCTAATGAGGGTGGCTTCCTGCTGTTTTCTTTTACTCTGGGTACCTTCAGTCCAACTTAGACACAAACACACAGCACAACCAGAAATGACAGTTGTAGTGAGTGGTTCAATTTTTGTTTTAAGGGTTCCACAAAATTATTTCATTAACAAAAGGGTTCACCACGAGAACAGATGATCTGAAGGATATATACCATTAGCTCGCTGAAATTGAACGGCTGCTCTCTGGCACTCCAGCTGAGCTTTCTTTGCCACTTCAAGAGAGTCATAGTATGGTCGAGCACGTTCGATACAGCTCCCTAACTTCTTACTCAGAAGCTTCAAACGACGTGTTGATTCATTCAAAAGCAGCCTAAATGTTGTGTTTGCTTCCTGAAAATCAAAGAAAACAACTAATATTTACTGTAATTTCAATAAAACAGAAATATTATATATCACCCTAACAAGGCCACATGTAGCTAAGAGGTGTATGACCCCATTGAAATACACAGAATTAAAATAATATAAAATTACTGGGTCTTGGATTGCATATGGATGCTTTGTCAACTGCATTAGAAAGGTAACATACAATGAGAAATACAAAACAAATCACAGCTAGATTAGGCTTGAAATATAAATCACATACACATAAGCCTGATACAAGGTTTCAATTTGGAGGGGATTTGATTTTATAAAATAAGTTCCCAAAATTCTAGAATGTTATGTACAACCTTAAATACACACATTTAAAATACTCACATCTAGTTCTATTTCTAATCTGTTGATTTCATCAGTTGCATTGTTCAATTTCTCTAATTCAATCTGAAAATAAAATAAATGAGTTACTTCATTTATATATACATAGTAGGTAAGACTGGACAAATTTCTAACTTGACAGTCTGGTCAAGTCCAACAACCATGCACTACAGCTTAAATTAGGGGATAACATAGACAAAATGTGCATAAGAACAGAGTACTAAGGAGGATATTTGGACCTAAGAGGAATAAAATGCCAGGGGGCTTGGGAAATTTGCATGATGAGCTCTGTTATATGTTACATGTATAAGCTAAATACAGTACTTCTCTCATTCCTGCCAGTGTTAGATAATAATGACCAGCAATGACAAATAAATACTACTCTTATTAATAGTACCTGATTATCAGTCTATAAATTAAGAGTTCTTTATGAAATAGGCAAAGTTTGTATTCTTCTTTACAGTGGAATTACTGCTATTTTTACTCAAAGAATATTAGCATTAATTATATAAAGACTGCAGACAGTGTAACCCCATCACAGACTTTCTAGAAATGACCTTTTGTGATATCTGTGCTTTGCTGCATGGATTATGTTCAAGATACTGTTACAAAATAAAGGTGGTTTCAAATTCAACTCATCAAGTTTTGTTCAGTTCGTAAAGTTCAGAATGAACACTGCTAGTAACTTGAAAAACGTCACTGATAATTTTTCCTCTTGCAATACTTTTATAAAAACATGTCCCACATAACAGTATTTTGTAGGTTATTTACTAAGAATCATGCATTGAAACAAGTTTTGTTCGAATGCATGATTTCATATAACAATACAACGTTTCAAGATTATTTACCAAGAACATCGTTATTTGCGCATGATTTCATGGAATTGAAGAACATTCGATAATTTACAAAAATGAGTCCCGTATTTCACAAAGAAATGGTATTCGCTGATACCTGTATTCTAGGATCCAGATCCGCATCTCCACTTTCATCTGGGGCATTGCAAGAATGCTCCATGACCTTTCGTGGAGATGGATTTTTTCCAATCATCAGCCTCAGCCATAAGAAGACAACGTCCTACGCTGCTTAGTCATTTTTCAAGAAGTCGAACACCGAATCGCACAGATGACTTCTTTCCTTTGTGAAAAGGTTCAGGCATGAAAACTCATTTGTTTATCAAGCTTTCACATTCCTGTATGAATCACTTTTATATCCAACAAACAGAACTTAATTCAGCAAATCACAAAAGATGATGGGGGGCGGGGAGGATATTTAAGAGCACAGAAATTAAACAACGATCATAGGTACCAAAGAGCATATACTTAATCGTATGAGTTTAACCAAACTGACAAGCCTGACTGAAACGTAGTTGGCGCTACTAGTGATACCGTATAGAACATATAATTACAGTAGCTGGTCGTTTGACTCATCGAAATTGACATGAATGAAACTTTCTGTGTCGAACAGTAATATAGTTTTTTACGGCATAAAATTTGCAGAAACTGTCTCTTCTTCCGTTCCGCTAGTACCAGACTTGTTGAAAGAAACCTAAACAGTAGCGACTGAATCCAAATTCCTGCCAAACGCAAACGCACCACACAAAGCCGGTTGCCTTAACCTCCACAATTCAAACAGAAAAGTTACAGTGGAACCACGGTTCCGGAGAATTTGACGTAAATACGTCTATACAGTAAGGAGTTTATATAGTGGCTTTATTCTAAATATTTTCTTTATACACGCTTTACAATTGATTAAAGTTTGAGTAACACAGTGCTGCCTACATTGAATTAGTTACGCTTAAGACGGGTCTATGGTAGCTGAAATATGTTATAAAATTTGTACATTTTAGAGTATCAAAATATCATGCAAACACCATATCTATACAACTAACGCAACAATAGATTTCTTAATAATTCTTATATAAGATAAGTACTCGTGATATTGTGAAACGTTTTTACCAGCACAAAATTATCTGCTCTACGACGCACTTCTTCTACAAGCGATTCACAACTCAGCTCTTTCCGCAATAACGAAAGCGGATTGTTGACGGCAGTAATGTAACACAACATGCTCATGTCTGAAAGCAGCACAAACAGTGGATTACCTCATCTATGACTGCGTAAAACTACAACAACCAAGGCGTAAATTAATAGATGCAACAGTCAAGAATGCTGGCACATGGCCAGTGTTACATGAAGCACTTGTTCAAAAATATTTAGGTCATTTTAATACATTCATTAAATTCATAGATTATAATACAGTTTAGCACAGGAACATAGGTACAAACGGTGGCAATGAATCACGATATTACAATTGTGTAATCTGTTAACGTGTTATACATTAATGAATGTAATATAACAATCTTGTAATGGGGCACGCTGAATAAATAAATAAATAAATGGTAATGTAATGCCGAGTAAACAGATGAAATTTCCTAGGTAACATAACAATGCATGCAAGCTGACCATTGTTGTCAGTCCATATTTACAAACTGTTGATATTCCTAGGTAATCATCTTACACTTTTTCCTGTCACTTTTTCGTAACACTTTTTTGCGGAATAACCCTTCCATATAGACGTATTTACGTCAATACAATCAAGTGCCAAAACATGTAACCCAAGATATGTTGTGTATTTCAAAATAAAATGTTGTGTTTCACAAATAATAGAATAACTTTACACTTTGTATTTTAATGCTGCCTCCCAAACACCATGTGCACATAAAGATAAGACTCGGGGCATCAATTTTTCTTGTAGACATTAACCAGTTGAGCCTCACTGTACACTCAACAAACAGGACAGGCTTTTGCAAAAATATTTAGTATAATCTTTGACAGCGCCTGTTAAACACGGCTTTCAATACAATCAGCAAATTTTCCATGGTGCCAATAGTCCGTAATTTGCACGTGGCTTTCAAAAATTCTGTGCGTATGATTTTAACAGGAAATTATAAGTTCATTGAAAATTGAATTGAAAAACAGATATTGTACAGACAGAAAATTAGGTTAATGATTTCAATGTAAAAAGTTGGTTTCTCGAGTGTGATTATGCTGATTTTGTTTTCTGCATAATAGCACTGCATTAACAAAAACATCTGATTCTTCTGTTGTAAATTTAATAGTGAACAGAAATAAAACAATTTTGGTTTTCGGTATTTCACACAGTTTCTTCCTACAGTGTTTCCACATCACATATGTCTATAGTGTTTATAAGTTATAGTGACTAAAATAACTTAACAGTATAAGCTAATTTTTACTTAGATGACAGCTAAAGTATAAGACTTATAATGCTACTTTTCATTCTTGTTCATGAAACCCTTCCAGTAAGAGTGAGACAAGGGAATAATGTATATTCCTTATGACAGTCATGAAAAGGAATACGAATATTTAAATATATGTGTTGGTAAAGTGAAATCGTACCCTTTCTAGTGCAGAGATAAGGAATTACACAACTACAGATCATGGAAACATAGTTCACTTATAATTTGGTAATTAAACTTATGAGTAGCCACAATAACAGCCTCACTTAATGGTACCTGCACCTTGTCGTGGTGGTGGGGCTTGAGTACCTCAGTGACCCCAAGAGTTATGCTGGCGGTAGCATAGCTACTGGTAGGGTTGGTCGAGGGGGAGAGGTCGGACTAAGACAGGTACCCTGGTCCTCCAGGTTGGGGGTCGATCGCAAGGCTAACAACCTTGCACCGTACAAAAAGGAAGGTTTCGAAACCTCAAAAAAGAGAGGAGGCCATGGACCGAATACGGACCGGAGAGCCATAGAAGAAGAAGCCACAGTAACAGATATCAGTCCAGGAGCTGAATATCTTGATTAGGGTTTTAAGAATTTTGCTCTGTTTTGTCACTTGACAGAAAGTAAATATATCAAACCAGTTCTGACAAGAATTTATAATATTCACTGATCCTAATCATTAATATACATATTAACATGAGAGAAACAGATTATTATAGTAGGCAAGCTGTCTTTGTTCCTCTTTTGTGCGCTTTGCATGGTATAAAATGCATAATGGAGATGTCACACCCACCTATCATCTTATGAAATACAATTTAGCATTCAATGACATTTGGTATTATTGGCTGACACTGACTGTACTAATTTACTGTTTGTCCAAAAGACTGACACACAACAAATCATAGACCCCTGATTTTAAATTGAAATATTTCTCAAATTGGTGTACATTAAATGAAATAAATTAAAGTAACTGAATAGATTTGCCAACAACAACAAATTTGTATCTGCAATAAATGAACATCAAAACCAATGAGAGATACAAAATCACAAAAATATATCTGGGAAAGCTATGTACTCCAAATTACACTGGACTTTGTAAATACGCAGAAGAGAATCTATTTTCTAAGATATTAGGGCAACTGAGTGTACAAATCCAGAGTTTCTTAAGATGGCTGTCTTCTGGGTTGTTGCGCCGTGCAGTCTGGTAGAAGTTTAACGACATTTCAGAGGTCCTTGCGGCCTCCATTATCTGATGATGAAGGCAGCAAGGACCTCTTAAATGCCAGTAAACTTCTACCAGACTACACGGCGCAACAAACCAGAAGACGGCCATCTTAAGACTCACTGCAGTGAAAACCTCAAATCCTACACAGAGTTTCTTGTCTCCTCTCACTGTTCTCATTGCTACTTCAGCTATTTTACAATATCTTTTATACTAACAGATTATTCTTTGAAATAAGTGATATTAAGTAAAAGTCTTAAGATAATTAATTGAACTGGTGAAAGAAATGCAACTTTCATAATCTCTCCTCATATCAAAATATATTATCACAGTAAGCCAGACTCTCTATTCCAGTCACAAATCAAACAAGTACATAACAGAGGGACAGGCATCGACTGTGCAGACTGAAAACTCTCCCTATTCCGTCTTAAGTTCCGTCTTTGGGGGTGCCATGAATTGTGAACAACATAATACCCACCGTAAAAGACTTAAATAACAATATGTAACATGATACGCGCACTATCATGTTCTTTTGTTAGATTCATCATCAGAATCTTCTGCAAGCACTTCATCATATCCTGGTAACATCTGAGAATTAAAAGTGGCTTCAAAACAGCGACTGAATATATACCGCGCCTTTTTTGCTGCAGGTAGGGGCGGAGTTCCAGGCACTGCATCTTCCCCAGCTGTGTTTTCTGCATCTCGGGTATTGCCATTGTCTTGAACACAGTCTTCTTGCATGCGGAGTCTGGGTAAAAGTTCACTAACATTTTCAGTCATACTCTGGGAACCGTGTTCTTTGGAGCTGTTGCATCTCCTGGATGGTCCTGAAACTTGAGGAAAATTGGCAAAATAATGACGAAGAACTGAAACATTCTTCCAACCAGTCAACAACTGTGACCTCTACAGTCAAGTGTAATTCTATTGAAGGAGCGGCATGGTCTAACATTGTATTATACATTACCGCTGTCTTACTTCAACATAAGAAAAGCTGTTTTAAAGCCTAGTAAATAAAAAGCTGATTAAAATAGGTTGGATGAAATGCAATATTTTCACAGCAATAATATTAATTTTAAAATATTCAAAAGAAAAATAACAACATAAAACATTTATTGCAGATCAAATATACATACAATTTCAAGGCATCTTTTAAAGAAGAGTGTTAAAGTTTTATTTTCTGAACTCAAGAGTCTACAATGTGGGCTCTATGCAACTGGAGTATGCACAGCTAATGAAACATGCTCATTGTCATATTAAAGAAAGAATAAATTCATGTTAATGTTTAAATCAGTGGTATGCTGAACATGTACGCATTAAACATTAATGGCTAAAAAAAATGTATTTTTTAAATATTAAGTAAGAGAAGTCCTGAATATAAGAATAAACAAGGTTTATTATTTTTAAATCTCCAATCTCTGAAGAGAGATTCAGATTATCAAAATAAACAAAACTGCATCTCAAATATCTGTGAAATTTGTACTTTGATAAATACATAATTTCATCTTCTTCTTCCTAAGACATTTCCACTTTATATGGGAATTTAGGTCCCGTGCCGTAGCCGCGCGGTCTGAGGCATCATGCTTCAGACCGGCGATACGGAATGCGCGCTGG